TGCCCCCTCAGGCTGCCCTCAGGTTTGCACAGCCCAGGGAGAGGCAGCTGCAGGTCCACCGCACCAGGTTCACTGTGTTGCAGTGGCAGGAACTAGAGAGCATTTTCTGGCGCAATCAATACCCCGACGTGCCAACACGGTAAGCCATCACTTGGGTTGGCGTCTAGTTTCCAGGGAGCACGTGCTGGTCCAAGCGGCCTTTGTCTCTCTCCCAGGTCCCTCTCTTTCCCTCCTCAAGTAAAAGCCACCTTGTAGACTCCGGGCTGCTAGGGCCCCTGCTCCCCGCACTTGGGTTCTGGGTGGGGCTACGCCGGCTAACAAGGTCAATATTCTCAAAAGTATTTCAGTGAACTGAGTCGGGAAACTTCGGTTGTCACCTGTTATTATAAATAACATCCCATTGGCACCCAGGCAGGAATAAAGGTGAGGAGGCCAAGGCATGGTCGACCAACTGCAGGGCCGCCTCCTGCCTTTGTTTCAAATTTTGATAATCTGTTAGTCATGTATTTTTTTGCCTTAGTTTTTAGATTTTTAAAGATATGAGAACATTATTTGTCTTGATTACTGATTTTTTGGCAATCCCTTAAAGTTTGCACCTGGCAGAAAACTGTCACTAAAACAAGCCTTAAGGCAGATACTACAGAATATCTGCATATTTGGGGAGGGGGTGCTGGGTAGCGGCCATGGGGGAGGGGAGATTTGATGGGCTAAACAGTTTTAAACAAACACGAGATGTACTGTGCATATTTTATTTCATCCACAAGGTCAAGTACTGAACATTTGCCATGTTTTTTCCTCAGAAATGAGCTTGCAAGGCGCATGCATGTGCCTGAAGCCAGAGTGAAGGTCAGTAAACCTGAAACAAAGTGGTTTGGCAGGACAGCCGGTCTAAAGCCTGCTTCAGGGCTTAGAAACCTTTGTCCTGGATATTGTCACTTTCCATGTCTGGGAAATGAGTTTTGAAGTTTGGGGTCTTTGTGGGTGGAAAATGAGATGGGGAAACCCCAGTGAATGGAAATTTCCCATTGCCAGAGGGAACGGGACTTCCTAGAGGAAAAAAAAGTACTGAAGTACTTTTATTCCTTGTATACAAATGTATATAATATATAAATATGTTTTAAATTATAAATATATTTACATATTAGATATAACCATAAGATATATATACGTGTTACTGTATGTAGTAAAATTCAACTCCATCTAATACTGGGATCCTCTAGGTAGCACTTCATGTGGAGTCATATTGGGGTTGACTGACATGGGAATTATTCACATTAATGCACCAAGGAGCTCAATTATACTACATTATTTAAAATATTTTAAACCAGGCATAGACTCTTTGATTAAAGCTTGAATTTATAAATACTTAGGCAATGGGGTGAGGGAATAATTTATAACCAGAACAGAGCACATGTGTAACTATTCTAAGTTTAGTGAAGGGGAGACTGATGGGGAGGGGATAGCATGAAGTCCAAGTGACTGGTTCCCTGGCTGCTGTTTTTAAGTATTTTGTGAAGCCATATAGAGAGTGGCAGCCCTAAATTTTAATTATCTGGAATACTTTGAAGTGCCAGCCTGTAAACACTGCTAACATGGTGGAATTGGGGAAAACATTTGCAATATTTAGGAATTTGTCTAAAAACCAAAACCATCTTAAAGAACAAATTCAGATAAATTTCTCCTGACTTAAGAAATGTCAAAGTGTTAGGCAACATTTTTTTTTGTTTGTTTGTCTGTCTGTCTGGTCTTTTAGCATAAGTTGTATAAAATCGAACATATGCATTGGAGAAACTGCACACATTCAAATTTATGAAACCACCAAATGTGTTAGTGAACATTTTCTTGAGCAATTTCTAACACGTAAGAGATGTTTTTTCTTCCTTTCTGTGGTACTATTATAAAGAGACGCCTTTGGTGGCATTTGTTGACAATGGGGGATACTTGTCAGTTAAGGCTAGATTTTTACCTATGTTCATTTGAAATACTTTTTCATTTGCTCAGGCAGTGATAACTAATCTGTAGGTCAGTGGATCCAAAGGTGATTATTTGAGCCCATAGAAAACCATAAGTTGTATGAAAGGAGTATTTGAAAAAAAAAATGTAGAAAAGATAAAAAGAGAAAAATCAGGATGATCTTAGCTTTGCAGCAGAGTGCGTGTGTCGGTGCAGGGACGGAACCATGCTGCAGATCTGGTGGTGGTATCTAGAAAAGCAGCCTAACAAAGAAGGCCACTGAGTGCTGGCATCCTAATGCCGCAGGCTGGAGTAAAAGTGAGGCCTGGCTCAGGCTGGAGGTCTCACTTCTCAGGCAGGCAACGCAAACTTGGGGGAAAAGAAGATCTTAACTTTCAGTGAGTTGCTTTTTCCCTCCCTGAGTTGGCGTAGCATTCTCTCAATGGAGTTCTGAAGGCAAAATGACCCACATGCAACAAAGTAAAAAAAAAAAAAAAAAAAAAAAAAAAAAAAAGGACTTAATGTTCTCATGTACTGCCAAACTGTTCATCATGAATATCTCCAAAGAACTTTGAATAGACGTTTCCCCCCGCCTCTATTTTGTAAATATATTAATAGCTATTTTATGAAACCAGTACTGGGAATAGGGACTAATGTCGACCATATCACACTGAGCCAGCTATTGACATTGGTTATGTTTACGAACCTTTGACCACTGGTGCACTTGGATCTCCCCAAAGCTAGCACTGTTACACTGGACTTTTTAAGCTTTATATTTATGAGGGAGAAGGACTCCAAATGGTAACATGGGAGAGAGAAAATGAGGCATCAAACATAGAGAAGGCCCTTTGTCTCATAACATTTACAGTTTGGAACTTCCAAAAAGATTGGACGCAATGGAAATCTCATTAACTAGGATGCTGAGGGGATAGTGCAGTTTAACTGAAAGGCTTGATTTTTATCTTTTCATAGTTGGCAGGTATTTCGGGACTAGTCCTCTTGGATACCTCCACCATATTATTATTGAACGTCTTCAAAAGTGCCTATTTGGACTTTTCTGCTTTAGGAATTCTGGTGGGATTGAAATATACTGCTTGAGGAGCAGGGCTAGCTGGCTGAAGGTGTCCCAGCAATATGGGCAACTAAGTCTCCTGTCCCAGAACCCGGGACTGTAAGGAGAACAGAGTGAGCTGACCTTGTCCTGAGCCCAGGAAGGTCTGGACGATGGAGTATACGGAACGGAAGGCAATACCTTCCTCCTGCCAAACTCCTAAGTGGGTAAAGATTTTTGAGAATTTTTGTAAATTTGGATTGCATTAGTGTCAACCTTAAAATTTCAAGCTAGAGTATTGAGACAGTGTCCAGGGTTTCAATTCCCCTCCTATCCCATCAAGACAAGCCACAAACTCCCTGGGCCCCCTATGACCAGGCATCTCCTGCAATACCAACTTTTTACCTTTCAAGAGCCTTCAGAGGATTAATGACCCCTTAGACACCCTTGAAGGAAAACTGTTATTAAAAATCCAACGTGCTCCTGTTGATTATTTCCTTTACACTGAAGATGGGCTTTTCAGAATGGGGGCCATTTCCCTCTGTATTCATTTAAAAGGCACCCACTTTGTACCAAGTTCAGGTTCCCCTTTACCAGGGTGACACTTGCCTAGTGAGTAGGGGCTGGTGGCAGCTGGATAGCTGATGGTCAGCTCTCAGGAAACAGACATACCACACATTGCAATAGCAGCAGGGACCAAATCCAATTCATCAGCCACAATTGCATCGAAGAGTGGAAAACAACAATACTATTAAAGGTAGGAGGAGAGAGACAAAGCAATGAGCCAAGCCAGAGCTTGGCACATAGTTGAAGCTTACTAACGGAGCGGGTGTGGCGCCAACTTTCCTGAGATATTTTAGCAATAAGGAAGTAGCTTCTCCTGGTGCAGTTAAAAATATTAAGTTCATATAGAATTGTCTGTTGTGTTTTTGCTCTTATGACATTAAATGGTCAGTATACTAAACCGATAACTTTTTTTCTTCATTGAAGAGGTGGTTTAGGAATAGGAGAGCCAGGTGGAGAAGACAACAGAGGACATTAATGCTGAGAAACATGCCCCCCGTGATCCAGGGCCCTCCTGTCTTCATAATCTGGAGAGCATCCTATAATGCCCTACTTGTTCGGGAGCCATATTGGAGGCAGGTTTTTCTGCTGCCACCACCACCACCACTGCTGGGCCTGCCCCTGCTGCCAGTGCAGCCCATGCCTTATGTCTTCTTGCCTTTTGTGCCCTTGCCTCTTCCATATTTGCATCCCGCTGGCCCAGGTTTCCCTGTCCTGGTCTGGTGTCTGATCATCATCAATCCCGTTCTCTACCCCATTTTTTAAAGGATTATCTCTGTATTTTTCCAAATTGTTTTGAGGCCACCTTCAAATTTTACACAGCACCCCATCAAGAGCATTTCACCAAACTCCTTTTAAATGTACTAAATAAAAGTACAAATCCATTGACCCACCTGAGGGCATGTTTTTGTATTTTCAATAAAGATTTGAATTCCATGTCTGTTTGTTTTGTGTGTCCCATGGGGTTAGTAAGGTATGGATGGCAATAGCTAAGAGATGCCATTTAAGCCAAATGGCAAGAACACCTCCCTTCATGCAATAATATCCTTGAGTCATCGTCAGGAGGCCTGTACACATCACAGAAGTTTCCTAAGCGCCCACGGCTGGTTTGCGTGGACCCACACGTTCTCTCCCATCCCTCTCCCCCAGCACTCCATCCTCACCCCCACCCTGCCCTGTTGGGACCACGCACATGTGCAAGATGGGGCAGCCTGAGTCCCTAATGAGAGAAGCATGTGTTTCAAGATGGGGCCGAGATTTCTTCACGCTAACGAGCTCAGGCACCACACCAGACTGTAAGGGAAACTTCCTAAGGGGCTACTCCTAGGGCTTTATGGAGAGGTGGGAGACAGGAATTCACCTGGTGCTCCCCAAATTCTGTTCACTGCCTTCCCTTCTTGTGGAGGAGACATGTGGATAGAATCCATTCCTACGGGAGGGTCCTACCTCTTCAAAGAAAACACAGGACACTCCATCAAGGCCAGAGTGAGGCTCTCTTCCCTTTCCCATCCACCACCCTCAAGACATGGAGCTCATAATATCGCACCTTGCCCAGCTCAGAAATTGACTGCCATGACTTCAAATATATTTTGTCACTTTCCACATCCTTGAGAGGACCCTGGTTCCAGTTAAGTAAACACTAAAAGGGAACTTCTTGGTTTAGTGATGTCTGTCGGAAGAAGGGAATGGTCCCCAAACAATGATCCAGAATAATTGTTTCATTTAAAAGAAGTAGTCAGTTACAGAAAGAGAAATACCACATATTCTCACTTATTTGTGGGAGCTAAAAATAAGTAAATAAATACCCAAACAAGTGGGGAGTGGGGTGAGTGGGAAGAAGACACAACAATCACAATTCGTTGAAGTGGTTAAGACAAGGAAACAGATAGGACATTGAAGCCCGGGAAGGCGTGGCGGGGGAGGGAGGATTCGGTGAAGGTACACAAAAATCAACCACACCTTATACTGATTAAATTAAGTTAAATTAAAAATTTTTTAAAAATCTTTTCTAAAACTGAAAAAATAAATAAAATAAAATAAGAGATGCAGTTAGACCTTGGCTTTGTTCATGCAATCTTTTTCACTTGAAATTGTTACGGTGAAAGAACAAAAGTCAAACGGGTATCAGAAAGGAAGCAAGGCCCACTTTTTAAAATCCGTAAGTTCTCATCTCTAGAGATGCAAGGCTTCTTTAAGGTAGTTTTCTGTTAGAAGTGCCAGTGTAATTAATGCCAGTTAATTATACAGCTAAAATGGACAGAATGGCAAATTTTATGTTATTTATATTTTACTACATGAAAAGAAGAAGAAAATACTCCCTCCAAAAAGAAGAATATGTGGTAATTGTGAACCCCATGGCCACACTGTGAAGTGATTTAAGTGTCTGCAGGTAAGGAGCCACGGTTACAGGAGAACTTCCTCTCACAGGAATTAATTGTAGGCCAGCTTTACAATGCTTGCGTTTCCAGCCTGAAGGCTGGAAGGACGGTTCTATTTCTGCTAGCCCATCGGCTGCTTTTCATTTCTGTCTTCTCTCCAATTGTGGGTGTCTCCCACAATTGTGGATGTCAGGCAGCAGCAAAGCAATTGCATTTAATGTGTGGCTTTTGCAGAGAGGAGTTTATTGCTACCCCAAAGGCCCCAGGCCCTGGTGAGAGTAAGCAAAGTCCACGAATGCACCATTCCCCCATGCATGCACGTTGGTCAAGTGGAGTCTTTTTCCCTCTTCTGTTGAGATTTTCCTTCCTTTGCTATTGCTCCCATTGTGTTGTGCACTGAGTCCCAGGTTTCAATGCACATTCAGTTGGTAATTGCTTCTGTTTGTCATATTTTGTGCCGGTTTGTCTACTGCTCGTCCTTGTTGGTCCTTCTACATTCACACTGAAGCACTTGGCAGTCTGGTGATACTCAAAAAAGGACAAAAAAGGGAAAAAAAGTAGGGAAAGGAGATTGAAATCATACTCTCCGTTTTTCTCCCCATGGTGATCAGATTCATAAAAATTTTACACCATCCAAAGACTTCTTCAGCTGGAAACTTTTCCTTTATATCCCAGAAAAGATTTCTTATAACCACTTGGCATTAGTTTTCATGTGTCTGGTAAGTTACCTGTTAGAATCATAGACAAGAAGTCATCTAGCTCTAAAAGTCTGATGTTCTGAACTTCCAAAGCAGAATTCTTGTGCCTTAATCAATTAACATTCACAGAATTAGATTTAGAATTCCCTTTCACTTAAAAACATCATATAAATGAATAGAAACTGACCTTGAGCCACACACTGTTGAGGTAGCATATGATGGGTGGGCTCGATAGGGAGCAGGTTAGAATTTCCCTTTGCTGAGGCATATTGGTAGAGATAGTATTGTCATGATCTTCATATGCACACACCCTTTTGTTAGTAGCTTACATCTGTTTTGCTTTACTCTGTGGCAAGCAGTGAAATAATTTCCTTAAATGGTTTTATTTGATGTTCAAACAAATCCAAACAGTGAGGTCCTTGTATCTTCATTTAAAGAAGATGAAACTATTTCCTCTGGTTACAAAGCCAATAAAGAGAACCTTTCCATGATTGAAGCCAAGTCTGTCTGCCTCCAGAACCTATGCTCTGTCAAATTTAATGCAGTGGTCATGCACTGGGATGGCACAGTTAGAGCAATCTGGCTTCCAATTACAGCTCTGCCACTTTCCAGTTGTTTATCTCTGGGCAATTTCCCTAATCTCTGTGATCATTGCTTTTCTCTATAAGATGAGAATATTATGTCATAGAATTGATGAGAGGACTAAACAATAATATATGTAAGTTGCTTCCCAGAATGCCCAGCCACAGAGCAAGCGTGCAGAAATGTTCAATGCCATCATTCCGTACTGTCTCCTATCATTATATTATCATCCATCATCCCACCTTTCCTATGTGGTATAAAGGAGAGAGGCCTGATTAGGAAACAGGTGATCTTGGTTCTTTCTGCAGCTCTGTTACTATCTTTGTAACCTCGAACAAGTCACTTAACCGGCTATATGTCTGTTTTCTCACGTATAAAATCATGACAGTAATAGCCTGACTAATGTATTTGGAGTAGGTTTAGTGGTAGAAGGTTATTGAGGATGCTTTAAAAAAATCAGAAATAAATAAATGAATCAATGCATTATGAAAAAAGAAGGATTTCATGCATTGTTTTCTAGAGTTTGGAGGGTCCTATTGATGTTTCTCCTTCCCATGCCACTTTTATAGACCAACACTTTCCTTTTGTCCTTTCTTGCCAAAGACAGAGAAAGGAAATCAGTTGACATGAATAACATGGAGAGATATTTTAAGTGAGCACAGTAAATATTTGATGAAAGTAGAGAGTTGCTCATGTTTTGTCTATGATAATGATGCTGTCGCTATGTGTATAAAAAGTCTATCATTAAAATATGGGCAGCATAATATTTATTGATAAAATTATGTGATGTCTTGATTTATTTCAAAGTAATCTCAGGTTGGGTGCAAGGATGTTGGAGGGTTAGAAAGCCTATTGATGAAACAATATTAGATGTGAAATGATAATTGTTGAGTGTGGGTGATGGCTACATGAGCATTCATCTGATGATTCTCTGATTTTGTATACATTTGATTTTTTTCCATAATCTCTTTTTTTCCCCAAAAGATTAAGGATTGAAACTTGATGCTAGCAGTGCCAGACGGGTAACATAAATGAGGAAAACAAGCAGAGTGGGGACTGTGACAAACTGGAAAAAGAGGAGTCTCCTCCAAAGATGACAGCCAATACTCAGCTCTAGCTAACTTTTTCTGGGCAGAAATACAGGGCCCAGAGCTGGCAGATTTTTCAGATTGTAAAGATTGGCCAGAAATAAAAATGTTTATATAAAACTTTCTATTCTTTAAATCTGAACAATCAGTTCAAATATGTTTTATTGAAAAGTGCTTGTCATCCAAAATAGGTCTGTAGACCACATAGAAGGTGCAGCTGTCAAGTTTCAATCTTTGCCTGAGAAGGTAATTTTAGGCAGTTTTCAAAACTCTAGAACAGTGGAATGTAATTGAAAGTACTTTGAAAGCTAAAAATCCTAGAATGCCATTATTCTGCTCTGTTTTTCCTCATTATGAGTTTTGCTCTCGTATATGCTTTACTCTGCTCTCAACCCTGTCTGTGGGTTTCTTTAACTTTACCCTTCATTAATATTACCTAGAAATTCCATGAACACTGAGTAGCAAAACATCAAAAGTGTCTAATGCAGAAGGGCTCATAATTACAAATCAGGCTTTCAGGCAGCACCTGACCTGGACTTTTTTTCTGGGACATATTGCAGCTTGTATTAATGATAAACAGTTTCATTGTTTTCCTCTACAAGATGTTAAAAGTATGTCACAGATTTGATGAGAAACATTATACCTCACCAAACAAGATAACGGGCTGGGTAGGTCAGGGCATCCTAGAGAAGAAAAGGTGAATTTTACAGAGTTAAAATCTGTTTTGGTAAAGAAACTTTTTTCTTTCTCTGAAATTCAGCAGTTCTTTCAATCTAATCCTTTTTATATTATAAAAGCGTATGTAATGTGATCCCAGTCTTATTACATTCTTCTTCTGCATACATGCATCCATTAATCCCTCTTTCTTCACTTTATTTTCATAGAGATATCTGCGAAAATGTTCACCAGTGTCAAACCTGATTCTTGATCATGAGATGTGGGTAGATTTGTTCTTTTTGCTTTGGACTTTTGTGACTGCCCAAATTTTCATAATGCCAAATTATGCTTTTTATGGCTACAGTGGACAGAAATTTTCCATGGACAATTCTTTCAATGGGCAGAAATTTTTTCAGTGGACAGAAATTTGAAATTTTTAAAAAAGCCAT